GGATTATAATCATTGTAATGAAACAAGGTGTATGATTTGTTGAGTAAAACTGATGACCTGCCCTGTAAACTTTCACTCAATCCACAATAAAAACCTTAAAAAAATTTTTTAATTAATTAATTGAAAAAAAAGATGTATTGATAAGCACTGTGATTGGCATGCAATGGTTAGAAACAAAGAGTAAGGATCAGTAGTTGGAAAATATGGCCTTGATGACAGAAACGATGCTAGAGATTACATAATAGAATTTTCCAAGACCAATGACTTCTTCATTTTTAAACAACATAAAAGACAAATAACTATACACATGAACGTCACCAGATGGAATACACAGAAATCCAACTGACTACATTTATGGGAAGAGAAAGTGGAAAAGTTCCATAACATCAGCCAAAACAAGGCCATGGCCAAACTGTAGAACAGACCAACAGTTCTTCATATACAAGTCCTGGCTTAAGCTGAAGAAAATTAAAATAAATCCACAAGAACCAAAATATGACCTTGAACGTATCCCACCTGAATTTAGAGCTATCTGAAGAACAGATTTGATGCCTTAGACGCTAAAGACTAATGATCAGAAGTGTTGTGGGATGACTTCAAGAACATCATACAGGAAGAAAGCAAAAGGTCATTAAGAAGACAAGAAAGAAGGAAAAGACCAAAATGAATATCAGAAGAGACTCTGAAACTTCCTCTCCAGCACAGAGATGCTAAAGCAAAGGGAAAAAATGAGGAGGCAAAATAGCTAAAGAGATGATGTGGAGAGATGAAGTGGCTGGGGACTCTAGACCCAGAAAGGGAGAGGTACTGTGTGCTGACGACCGAGAGGCAGGCTTGCAGGATATATCCTGTGGTTGGTTGATGATGCATGGAGGGGACTATAACCATGGCAATGAAATGATATACGATAGGAATGTAAAGCGAATGTTCTCCCATGTAAACTGTCACATAATTCATAATAAAACATTAAAAGAAAGAGATAAACAGAAAATTTCAAAGAGCAGCTCAAGAAGACAAAGTCAAATATTATAATGAAATGTAAAAACCACCAACCCTGCATGTGGCTTTAGCCCACCATGCCACACCAAGACTAGAAGGTATCTGGATTAAGAACAGAATCTATGAGCCCTGAGTTCAATCTATAAAATAAGTTAACTATGTTGTTGTTGTTAAGTGCCATCGATGGGTTCCAACTCATAGTGACCCTGTATAGGGCTTCCAATTAGTGGCTGATGAGTTTGAACTGCTGACCTTGCAGTTCAAACCGACCTTGTGGTCCAGTGCTTATCCTACATCACCATACCAGGTTCACTATCCTGGATCAGAAACCAGTATTCTGTAAGGGTTTTTGTTTTCAAAGGCTTTTGGTAGCCTATCAATTATCTCTTTTGTTTTGAAAGTCTAGTCTAGTTCACCTCTAAGGGGCACTACTGGAGCTAGTGCATCATGATGAGGCAAGACATAATGAAGCTAATGAAATCTTGGGAAACAGTAAAACCCAGGGGGAGGAGTAGAGGCCACGTGCATGGTTCTAAATCCTGGAAGTGCCAGGGCTTGTTTTACTAAGGATAGCAGCATTTCAAACCAGTTATATAGTGTATTGTTGTTGTTAAGTGCCGTTCAGTC